GGGGAGAGTGGTTTGGTTTGATACAAGTTTCATGCATGCAAAAGGGACGTCAATACATGGCTCAAATTCCGGAAATAGTAAGACACTTACAACGGAATAGGATGGCGGAGACGCGTGTGTGAAGCCTAGGAACTGAGTAGCAAGCAGCATAGCAAGAGTGGAGCTCTGCATTCCAGAGCAAATAGATAGTGTGCGTGCAGTTTTCTCATCTTGCCTCCACAGGCTCATCCTCGGCACCCAATACCCAGAGGCAAATGAAAGCACATGAAACATAAGCACTGGCAGCAGCAGGTTCAGGCCCTGTGTCACCACAAACAAGGACCAAGGACATAAATAGCCCAAGTCAGAGATGCAAATACCCATATAATTCAGGTCCTTTAAAGGAAGTGAAGCCAAACAAAGGGAAGGGAGGGGAAGGGAAGGGAAGGCCAGTTCCTGTGAGGTACACACATGGATGTTACTCTCTTCTTCTTCTTCTTCTTCTTCTTCTTCTTCTTCTTCTTCTTCTTCTTTGTTGTTGTTGTTGTTGTTGTTGTTGTTGTTGGTTGTTAAAGGGGGGCTTGTCAAAAGGTCATGGCGAGAACAAAGAAAGAAGTAAAGACACATATAAAGTTATAAACCAGTTTACCTATCAATCTGTTCAGCTCCAGCACATGCTGATGAAATAACTCGGGGAAGGGAAATGGAGAGGAAAGCCAAGAATAGAGGCAGGGTGTTACCTGCTGAGCCTGCACACGGGCCCCATTTTGGTTGGCCAACGGTTGCTGGCCCCCCCCAGGCCGCACGCCCTTCGGACATGTGCCCTGGAGGCCCACGACCGGCCTTAGGGCCGCAGGATTCGATTTGAGGCAGCATTCATTTATTTACTTATTTATTTGCTGTCCTATTTTTGTTTGTTCTGGCGTCGTTTCGGACTTGCGCAGTTCGTCCGAACAGATTTTCGGTCTGTTTGGACAAGGCCACGTTTTTGACCTGGTACAGACGTAGGCAAGCCCTGTTGGGCCAGGTCCACTTTTGTCCGATAGCGAACACTCCCGGCTGCATCAGCAGGAAGGGCCTGGACGTCTGCTAGGGACCCAGGCAGGCCATTTTAGGCCTAGGACCAGAGGCACATGGAGGCACACCCGCAAGGCCCAGCGCTACTTATAGCTGGGCCAGGCCAGGGCAGACACACAGTTCGAGTAGCTCACTTCTTGGGTGACACGCTGCTGGAGCAGCGCGACACAGCACTGCGCTAGGTGTAGAGGTGTAGGTAGGAGGTGAGGCGGAGGCCATACCTGCTGAGGTGGTACTTACCTGGCCGCCATAGCTGGACTCCACGCCAGCGACCTGCACATCGCGGCAGTTACCTGCAGGTGAGACAGCAAGGAGGACGACAGGTTCTTCTTCTTCTTCGTTTTGCCCTCCATGTCTTCTTCCTCCTTCCTCCTTCTTCCACAGAGAGAGAGAGAGAGAGAGAGAGAGAGAGAGAGAGAGAGAGAGAGAGAGAGAGAGAGAGAGAGAGAGAGAGAGAGAGAGAGAGA